CATGACCTGGGCTGAAGTCGGATGCTCAACCGACTGAGCCACCCGGGTGCCCCCAAGCCCAGTGGTCTTAAGGAGCTGGGCACAGATAGCTGGGGCTCGCTGTGGGGTGGACCCCCTCCCTTTCCAGACACCCCCTGGGGCCTGGCCACGGAGGAGGGGCTCCCCTCAGTGGTGCTCTCCCTTACCTGCCCACTGCCACCAACTCCCCAGCTCATCCCCTCCCAGCTGCGTTCTTGCCCTGTGGCAGGGGCAGGTCAGCCCTTTGTCCCAGCCCTGCGAGGTATGGCCAGGTCACGGTACAGAGGGACCGGGGCCAGCATCAGGGTGTGAGGCCAGGGTGAGGAGTCTGCCCTCCGCGGGGGACAGTGGGGAGACAGGGCGCCAGCAGCCACCCCCCACCCGATGAGGGTGCCGAGGAACAAAGCCTTGGCACAGCTGGTAGCCACTGGTGGGTGAGCCCCCCGTGGGCCCTTGGGGAAACTGAGCCAGTGTGGACGGACCAGGACCCTGGTACTGGTTTCTAGATGAGTTGTCGGGCTTGGTCCCAGCTGGGCCACGTGGCCTCTGTGCCTCCTGGGCTGTTCCCTCCTCTAGAGTGGGGACAAGAGCACCTCCCTGTGGACTTTGGGCCCCAGAACCCACTGGCTGCTTTAGCTGTTGGGGTCCCCCGTGTGGCTCTGCCCTGCCAGCCCCGGTTCTGGGCAGAATGCCCTCAGAGGCCGGCCGGCTCGGGGCTCCCCTGGCAGGCCTCCTGGTCCCCGGGTGCCTGCTGGCCTGGCTTTCTGGCCCAGCTGGGCACTCGGCCATGCGGCCAGCACCCTGGGAGTGTCATCGGGGTTGTTCAAGGGAAGTGGCAGGAAGTATGACTGAGGCTGGTGGCCGGGCTCTGGTTACGGAGCCCAGCAGCCAGGACAGGTGCGGGGGCTGGTCCGGACATGGCCCCTTGAGCTGGACTCCCTGGGGGAGGACAGTGAGGGGGTCCTGGTGGCATCCCTGGCGTAGACATCCCCCCTCTCCCGAGAATGAGCGAGACCCTTTACTCAGAGGACACAGGGCCAGAGGGGCCACCATGCTCACACGAGCCACCCAGCACAAGGCACACACACCTCCCTGCCACCTCACAGGCCTCCCCTCCCAGGCCCCGATGGCCCCCAAAGCCTCCTGTTTTCTGTCTGTAAACAAACCCCATGCATCGGTGACTAGCAGCCCCACTCACCGAGACTAAACTGTTTAGGTTTGGGCACCCCCCCGCCAGGATAAACTCTACTTCCTGTGGCTCGGGATTGACCATCTGGCCTGACCTGGGCCAGGCTGCAGGGAG